CCCTTCCCTTCCCTTCCCTTCCCTTCCCTCATGTTTTCTTTTCCATTCCCAGTGATGTTTCATGATTTTTAATGTGTCAAGTACTACTGAAAAACCTTTAACATTTCTGGGCCACCTAATGGAAATTTATCCAGTCTACTGATCATATAGACAACCTAAATGGAATTCAAATCCAGTGTGTGATTCTTAGTCCCTGCCCTGCCTCATTTTGAGTCAGAAAGAGAATATGGAGATTTTAAAGTACCTAGCTGGGCTTTCAACATCTGCTACTAAGATCAAAAATTAAATTTACCTTCAGAAAACAAAACAAAAAGAAGAGTATTTCTGATTACATCAAGGGCATTTGGTCCCTGAATGTTTTACTTCTATTGCACAGCCATCTACCCTTCATTTTTTGCTCTTTTTCAGGGCACTTAGCAGGCCCCTAATCCTGAGACTTGTTAAGAACCAGCTGAGATTTCGATTGTTACTTTGCTGGTCTGTCTAAAGCAATTTTAGGCATACACAGACACACACATTCAGCTATGAAATGAGTAAGACAGTGAAGTTCAGAAAGATGCCTGACTGCTGTGTCTGTATTTTCACATATAGGTTTTATACAACATCTTCATCGCCTTCACCCAGATGCACAGGTACGAAGAAATCGAATCCATTGATGTCTTCGCTGGCTTCGCTCGCTTCTTCGTGGTGGGGCTGGGTGGTGTGTTGTTTGGGATCGTGTTTGGATTTGTTTCAGCATTCATGACTCGATTTACCCACAACGTCTCTGCAATTGAGCCCCTGCTGGTCTTCATGTTCAGCTACCTGTCATACTTGTCTGCTGAAACCCTTTACATCTCTGGTATTTTGGCGTGAGTATTCCTTATGGTTTTTTGGATAACCTCTTGAAGGAAGTGGTATTGTTTTGTGCAGGTGGTTTGCTCAAGGTTGGTACAACGCAGGTATTCAGCCTCTGGCTTAGAGATCTGCATTGGACAGCTTCTAAGAGATCTGCAAAATGCAGTGGTAACTAGGAAATGCCTACAGTCAATGTAGAAATAGATGTGATACCAAGGAATGTTGGCAAAAGTACTGCAGGTTGTGTGTGAAGTAACCAGTGCTGCTACCATCTGTCTGCTACTTCTGATGAGATCAGCAGTAGGAGAGAATGATTTGATAATACATCACTTTATCTGTATTTATTTCTAAGCACCATCACCAGAGAGACGTAAAGCAACGAGTATGGAAAACATAATAAAGAATGTCAGAGTTCTTGGTTTTGTATACAGCTGTGAACATCACCTCTAATGCAGCTTACTGGAATTACATTACATTTGGACAGCATCACTGGGATTGAAACTGGGCAAAACCAGAAAACTGAGAACATCAAATATATAGGCATACACACATACCCTCATGTATATGGATATTGACAATCACATTTTGATGTGGTCAGGAAACCTTGATACTGCTATAATGCTGGGGGTCGCTTCCCTAAAGTACTGTGATAGAATGTGTGCCCACTGCAGAGAGAAAGCTGGCAGGTCTGTCGGCTGGAGTAAATGCAGAGAGAGCGAGTATTGTGGGAAGGAAAAATGGTGGTGGCAGGAAAGAAGAAAAAGGAAGGGTGGAAGTGAGAGACTTTAGGAGAAAACTGCTGGCAGGTGACTTTCAAGGATACCATACAAAACAGGCCATGAGCAGGGTAGAGGTTATAGAAATAGGAAACCTCATGGTGCTACATGCTCCAGTTGGTGCTGCCAGCTGCTGTAGGCTCAGTGCCCAGCTGGTGGATAGCATGGCCTGTGCTGGCTCTGAGCTTTCATAATGGGTCTTGGAGGATCTAGTGTTCCAGAAAGGACATTCCTTTATTGAGGACAAACCAGTTTAAACCTAACAAATGCAAACATATAGTTGCTGATGTCCAGACAGGTGCATTTACTCACCACCATTTGCGAAACCATTACCCCTTGTCCTATGGCAATAGGTGCTACTAAAATGTTTGTCCCCATCTTTCTTATAGGCCTCCTTTAAATATCAAAAAGTTGAAATGAGGTCTCTCTGAAGCCTTCTCTTCTCCAGGCTGAACAACCCCAGTTTGCTGAGCTTCAGAGCAGAGTTGGCTTTGTAAAAAACTACCTTTGCAGGATGACCCTGGGAAGCAATATTTGCATATGTAAACGTAGTAAATAAGTAGTTAGACAGGATATAGGTCATCCTGAGAAATTAGACAAGGCAGATGAGTCTTGTACTATGTTTTGCATATCCAATACATTTGCCCAGATTTAGGTGACTGGCAACTTTAGTTGAGCAGGGTATTCAGGTATTCAGGTGGTGCAAATACCTTATGTACCCTTTCCTACCTGCACTGCCCAAAATGCTGCTTGCCTGCCTATCCATTGCAGTAGACTACATAGCTCTTTATTCCTTTAATTCTTATTTTCATTAGAGTTCTGAAATTATTAGTAATATAAGAATGTTAATATAATTGAGATTTATTATTCTTACTGC